AAAATACAAACCTTGTCTGCGTTGAGCTACAAATATTGCCGATAAATTATGCAAAATGGCCTACGGGTTATGGAGGAGATAAATTTCAAAGAATCGTTTCTTGTGCCATGGGAGCTCCGCTCCAATTAAAGATGTATTATCTATGGTTAATTAGCTATGAGACGCGTGAAAAAAAATGTATCTCGCCCTAATGAGCACCTCCCGTCTTCCCTTCATTAATTAAGTACACCATCACCGTCGCCACTAATCCCAACACCACTACCCTAGAATAGGCATACCACGCCGCTAATACGAGACGTGCTTCGCCTATTAAACGAGACATCATCAGGAGATATACCTAAACTCTGTGATGGCACAGTCATCGTAGGGTCTAGAAGAAATTGATTGATTATTTTTATTTTCACGCATATCTTAGCGAATTATATTTTTAGATCTTAAATATCTAGAAAGTGCTGTAACTATTGCTCGAGATAATTTAATTCAACGAATAAGAGCAACTACGGCCCGCAATACACTACATACGGAATTCTGAAACGCAACGAACAGGTCGGCCACATAGCGTTGCCAGAGGTCCGGATAAAGCCGAACACAGTCAGGCTTTTTGGTTGCGTGTCCGGCCAAATTAGACGGTGTCCGGCTTTTGATAGGCTTTTTAAAGACCATTTCTTTACATTCTTCATGTACTTACATACATAGTGTTGTTATTATTGAAATTAATATTGCAATGGATATTGAATGATTAATTATAATGAAGACTAATTTATTCAATGTTGTTGTTATTTCATTTAAACTTAAGAAGATTTTACGGTAAATGACAAAAAGCATTGTTTTATTTAAAAAATGTCTTTTACTAAGTCAAAAAATAAGGGTGTCCGGCCTTTTTAACAAAATATCTGGCTAAGCTCGCTGGTCTGCCCCACTTTTTGGTTTTAGGACCTGGTAACCCTAGCCACACACATACGGAATACCGTTTTGCCCGCAAAATTCTGTACGGAAAACTACCTTAGGTGTGTGACGAGTCATTGATTTGATATGGACTTGCTGCATTCCCTAGTCCCGAACGGAGTCCCGAAACGGAATTCCGTACGTATATGGCCGGCCTAAGAGACTTCCGCCGTCGCGTCTTAATGGGGAATTTATCTACGTTCTTTTAAGTGTGTAATTGCGCTGAATATCAAAGCCACAGTATTTTTCTACTAATTGCATTATAGTCAGTAATACTGACCGTGTGGTGGCGGTTTCAGAATATTTACAACCCCATGTCATCCCGTGTGTGTAGTAAGAGGCGACAGAGGTAACAATACCTGGAGACGGGCATCATTGTCTTCCTAACAACAGCTAGAAAATACGATCACGACAACGATGATTGCCAAGCGAGTGGCCTAAGTTCAGCAGTGGACGTTCATAGGCTGCAATAGATGAACTTAGGTTTAAATAAAGGTATCAACTTAAGTGCTCCAACCGTTCGAGGTAAACCTTATAAATATATTGTATTCGATTTAGACTTATTTGAGTTGAAAACTTAAAAGGAACATCAAATTGGATAACAATCTAATGGGAGGCTTGCAGTCTAATTTCACATAATAAATTCACTTTTTTTTGTGGAACTAACTACTTTATTTCGTTGAGAAAATATGTTATGTAATATATATAAACATAGACGACTGTCGACATAAAAATTATGATTAAGACCTCACGAAGCGCGTCGGTGCGTGTTTTAGAAGGATTTTAATGCAGGCAAAGAAATTGATTTGTATATTCAATATTAAAGTTCATTGATGCATATAACATCAAGGAATACCCATATTTAATAAATATAAAACAATCCATAGTAAAAAATACTTAAAATATACATAATATTGTTTTCTCATTTTAAAATTAGATAAATTGGTAGCATTTTTTAACGATTTTATATTTATAAGATACTTGCGAAAAAATTCATGTTCATCATTCATTCACGCCTCTGGGAGGTGTCTTGTACTTAGAAACTGTATGTATACTAGATAATACTTCATCATCATTATAGCCCTTCACGGGCCCGCTGCATAGCATAGGGCCATTAACATGTTCCTTATCCGCGTATAAAATCATTGTTACTCTCACACATTTAAAACAAATTCAAATATTTATAGCAGGGGGTTGTGAGGTAAGGGTGACCTCATGAGTGTGTCAGTAAAAGTCTCCAATAAGGTCAGGGTTTACCTCATAGACAGTTGCCACTTGATTCCTTTAAATTTACTTTATTTTTTTATACAAATCTATGTAGTTTATTTTAAAAAGAAACAATAATTTAAAAAATAATAAGACACTGATATATAAGCTTATGAAGCACAGTCAATACAGGTGAAACAATAACCTCAATGTAATGAAGTATTGTAAATTTTTGCATATGATAAAAATATTATGTGTAATAAGTGTTTAAAACGATGATTTCAAAAAAACATAAAAAGAGTGAATAATTTTACATTTGTAAGTAGTTATAATAGGTCCTATGTCATAAAACCTAAATTTTCAGAATTTGTATATCATCAGCAATACAGCCGACAAAGTTTACTGCTAAACATAGATCTCTCTAATAGATACCTTTGATTGGTATGTGAGTTAGCAGACAAAACTTTTTATTATGTTAGTTCTAATGTTATTAGAGCCTGTTATCTGAAAGATGCTACCGCCCACATCCTCTTTCAGTTTCCCACTATCTCCTCTGCAACACCAATGGAAGAATACTGAGTGGTAAATTCTCACTACACAGCCAATGTGATATATTTATTTACATATCTTCATATATATATATTTTGTTTTTAAGAAACACATAGTCCATGCAATTTTAATTAGTGTGGATCAGATCAATATCTATCTAGGAATTTGCCTACATCTGAATGAAGGACAGACACATTAATTTCGTAATTATATATGTAAGGAAGGACAAACAAAAAAAACAGAAGAGATGTTAAACTAGTACAAAAGTACAAGTCAAGCTTTATTGGTTATGATATATTAGCTTACTTTATTTATTATAACCAATGTATAATAAAAGTGACGAATTATTGTCAAGAGTATTTAGTTTCGTTTATTGGTTCTTGTGTGAATATAAGTATATCGATGAATACAAGTATTGTATTCATTGATATAATATGTCATTAATCAAATATAATATTTCTTCTATAACAGGCAGTTGAATGAATATTAAATAATTATATTCACTTAACTGTCTATGATAAAAGAAATATTTACAGGATATACATGTAATTAAATGCAAAGATAAATCCTAAATTAGTTATTGAAATGTTAATGTTTGAAAGTATCAAGTTGAAATAAATATATGAACCAATTATATTTTTTTTAAATAAAGAATACAACCAATTTCAAATAAAGAAGCCCAGAGTCATGATGAGAGATGAGATGATTTGTCACCTCTGACTGAACTGAACTGAACTAAGATAGAATACCTCATGCCTGTAATAAAACTGACTCTATACCCATCAAACTGGAACACAGGAGTCCATGTACTGCCACTTGGTAACAAAAATATGTAAGAGAGAGTAAACTTATCCAGGTGGACTCCTAGGCAGAAAGAGTCTCACAACTTAATTTGCATTAGTGTTAAATTGATTGAAACAGGCTCCTAAAGACCAGTCCCTTTAAAGGACTAAGTTAAGCATTAGAATTTTGATGAACTTTGATGATGATATGGTACCTATTGTTACAATTGTTAAATGTTTTCTAATAGAATAGAATAATCAATACAACAATCAATATATAAAATATGTTTATTATTGTGTAATCATTTAGTTTCAGAAATATTATTATTATTTTCATATTGTTTTATAAACAGCAAAAGGGTCTTTATATTTCTTTACGCTTAGAAACTTAGCTTTTTGTTCCTAAATAAATTATTTACAATCCTTATAACTAGGGATGGGCCAAATATTCGTTTTATATTCGGTATTCTGCATATTTGGCAGCTTTACCGAATATTCGGCTAAATCACCGAATATTCGTTAAAGTGGTACTCAAAGTGGCCACTGTATTTAAATGTACGAATTGAGTAATACCATGTCTTTCATAATTTTACTGTTGAAAGTATTTTTTTTAATTTAAAAAGAATATTAACAATGCTACAAACATTACTAATATTCCACTTAACCACTCGTGGTAAGCTTAAATTGCTTATGTTATGAGTGGTTCACGCCAGTAATCTAATGGCGGATTCGAACCCACGACCTTTTTGAATTCGCGGTCCGCGCCCAGCCATTAGGCTACTGTCGTTTAAATTTATGGGTTAAATCTACTTGTATAGCATAATGTCTTAGAGGCACTATGGATTTATTTCCAATTATAGCAAATAGAAAGCTTGATGTATTTTTTTGTAATAAAACAAATAAATATTGCATTACATTATACATAGTACATTTCACTTTATCAGTCCAAATGGTATATCTCCTACCACTCATTTTTATCACATAATTATCCATGTTCATTAAGAATAACACTAGGAATTACTTTTTTTCTCACAAAAATAGTCAAAACATAAGCATGTATCGGTAATTTTCTCAGTACTAAATAATGCAATAACATGTCAGGTGTGGCGGGGGAGTGAGAGGCGCTAATCCCGCGCACTTTACGGTAACAAGTTTTGACATAAATTGGTTATGTACCGAGGTGATCCTGCCGAATAAAATTCGGCCGAATATTTGGTTCGGTAACAGTTTTACCGAACATTCTGCCGAATATTCGTATTCGGTGAGATCCATATTCGGCTCATCTCTACTTATAATACACCTTTGCTTGAATTTTCCTAACATTATTATAAAGGTATAAATGTATGTTATATAATACACTCCTGATCGCATCCTTGTCTATTTACTATTACATAATATGTATTCGAATGATTTGTGAATTTAAAACAGTAACAGTACATTTTATAAATTATTTTATCGCACTAATATGTATTTTTTGTGATTGTCTGTTATATATTTAAAAATAAACTAATAACTTACCAGCACTGTGTGATGAGTGCGATTGCCTCTATGCACCCATTGAACATTAGAAGTGTTTTGTTTAAGAAATCCTCCGCAAGGTATTGTCACATTTGTACCCTTGTCGGCTGCTATTTCGCGGATATCAACTTGTTCGGCCACGGCTCGCGCAATAACTAAAAAAAATGATATCGACTTTAATATACCTTAAAACAGTAAAACACAGCTCTACAGTTTTTTTTTTAATTATTTACCTTCTATTCCAAGGCAGAACAGAGGCACCAATACACGTATAAGAAACATCCTACAATTTCTACATTTAAAGTCTATAAACAACCACTATACGTGCAATTTGTAAAGTAAAAAATATTTTAAATCTTAATTAATTACATTACATTACAGAGAAATAATTAACGAGGGAAGGCGAAATAAATACGAATCTAATTACACAGCAAACGTCTCGCCCATATAGATGTAAGTCATAGACTAAAAACTAAAAAATCAAGAATTTGAAAATAATAATGTCATATGTCACTGTCAAATCTAAATTTGACAGGCTTGCATCTTTTTTCCAAAGATATTTTAACTTTACTTCTGCCACAGACATTGATCTTAGCATAGACTTAGGATAGTAATACGTTATTAGTACTGTTATTAGTTTGTGGATAGTAAAATATATTTTAAGTCTTTGACTTAGTATCAAACAGATATTGGTATAAACTACGTGATATTAGAAAATTTTGCATATCAGTCATGAAATTGAAAACATTAAGCATCATTACAGAAAGACAAATCCACTACTAAACTTAGGCCTCCCTCAAAAAATGCCACTGAACATCGTTCTGAGGCACCTGCATCCACCTATGCTTCGCTTACCAGGTCGTCACTCCATCTAGGGTACTGGAGGAGCGAAAGCTTACGCTTCGCCTACTGGTACGAGGGAAATTGTCACTCGAGAACCTTATGTTCCCATCGATTGTCAGTTCTTCAAGCTATTATTATTCTATTACTTATCATTCTAATTTAATATACTGCTTTACAATTTTTCCACTTACCTTAAAATATTAAATCAACGCTTATCAGTATATTTTTATATTTCAATCAACTTCTTGCTTAAGTTAGTACAAAGAAATTATTGCATTTAAACATGAATAAATAAGAAAAAATTGAAGTTTTTTTTTTTTGTAAATTGTTACAATTGATAAAATTATTAATTATTCATGATTACATTAAAAAACTAAATGACGCAACTTGCGTGTGTGTTACGCTTAGGTACTATGTTTACTAGCGGTATTGTTTTATAATTACTAGGGAGGGGCCTCATAACGCCTACAATCGTGAAAAATAAGTAAGATAATCCTAGTATGGGGGATAAGTCGCTCGCGTCCGTAGGCTTTGATCACCTGTTCCTAGGCCCACCCTACACGTGTCCCCCGGGAGGTGCTAAATGAGCGACAAGCCGATAGCACAGACACGGCTTCACGCCGTGGTAGCGGCGTAAAATATACTACCCCATATTTCGCACCATGACTAACCAAATAAAGGAAATGGCCCTGAGTTCCCGGCGCCCCTTTAATGGGGCAGGGGTGCGAAGAATCTCCGGGAGGAAAACCGGCGACGAGGTTCGCCACCCTTCACGTTCTGTCTCCCGGAGAGGCGAAAAGTGGATTGCAGAGGCCCGTCTGGCTACGTTGAATGTACGTGGGGCAATGAATGATAAAATGGATGAAGTATGCGATATGATGTATGATAGAGGAATAAATGTGTTATGCGTAAATGAGACGAAAAGGAAGGGGAATGATGTCACTACACATGGCATGTATACCGCATACTGGTCTGGTGTAGACGAGATCGAGCGGGCATGCCAGGGAGTAGGTATCATCCTTTCAGAAAGAATGGGCCAATGTGTGAAAGAGTATGAATGTGTAAGCCCAAGACTGCTATGGATACGAATGAAAGTGGGTTTAAAGAAGTTGTTCGTGTTAGGGGTCTACGCCCCAGACATGTCTAAGCCCACTTATATCCGAGAGCAGTTTTGGGAAATGGTAAGGATGGTGTTAATGAAGTGTAAGGGAAATGAAAATATTATTATGCTAGGAGATTTTAATGGAAGGGTTGGGGTGAGGAGGCTTGGTTATGAAAGGATATTGGGAACGTTTGGTGATGAAAGTATAAACGAGAATGGTGAAAGTCTCCTCACCGTATGTATGGAAAAGAATCTTTTTGTGACGAACACTTGCTTTCGCCACAAGAGGATTTATATGTATACTTGGGAAAGAGGTGACGATAGAAGCGTGATAGATTTCATAATTGTGGATTAAAGATTCAGGGGCGCAGTTGTGGATACAAGGGTTTACCGGGGTTCTAACGTAGGAACGGATCATTATTTGGTTTTATGCCGAATTAATGGTCTATTCAGGCGTTGGCGTCATCGGTCATCTGTGTCTACCACTGCGTTACAGCTTATTAGAACAGAAAGGTTGCAAGATGAAGGTGAGAGAAACAAGTTCAAATGTAGACTGAAAGAAAATATAAGTGGTTTGGATGAATTATGTATGAAGGAGTTAGACTTGGAGAATGTATGGCAAAATGTAAAGAAAGGTTTAGTGCATGCAGCTACCGAAGTATGTGGTGTTAGTAAGAGAAAGAATGAAAGAAAAAAATAATACGTTATGGTGGGATGATGAGATACGAATGGAAGTTGAAGCAAAGAAGAGAGCATGGCTAGATTTACTAGCAACAAAGGCTGGTATTTCTAGCGGTACGAATGATGATATTGAAAGAAAAAAGGCGGTCTTTAGACATTTTAATAAGAGAGTAAAAGAAGTAGTTGAAAGAAAAAAGCAAGAAAGATCGGATAAGAATGATAGAAGAATATCGGATAACTTCCAGGCAAATATTAAAATGTTCTGGAAACTGGTAAGAACTGCCAGGGGACATTCAAAACAGCCTATGATGAATGCTATAAGAGACGAGAATGGCTATATTCTGAATGATGAAGTTTTGAGTTTAAAGAGATGGAAGGAATATTTTGAAAGCGTGTTTATGAGTGAGGAGACAACATGTGTACTAAGTGAAGTAGAAACTCCGAAAGAAGAGGAAAGAGGTAGCGAGATAAGTATAGATGAAATAATGAAAGCAATGAAAATCATGAAAGCGGGTAAGGCGCCCGGATATGATAGAGTTTCACTCGAAATGCTAAGGGCTGGAGAGGAGGTGGTGGCAGGCCTGCTGCACACCTTGTTTAATTTATGCTGGGAACTGAAGCGGGTACCGATAGACTGGTGCAAAGCCGTGATAGTCCCAGTATATAAAGGAAAAGGGTCGCAGCAGGACTGTAAAAACTTCCGTGGCATCAGCCTTCCTAGCAAAATTCTTAGGTCTTTATATTGACAACAACTTAAAGTGGGAGACTCATACAGAATATATTTGCAAAAAGTTAAACCAATTTTCATACGCTTTACAAGTATTATCCAAAGTAGTTAATGAAGATGCTTTACGGACGGTATATCACGGCTTCGTATCTTCTACTGTGCGCTACGGTATAATTTTTTGGGGCAATGCCACAAGGCGCGAAGATATATTTAAAGCACAAAAAAAGTGTGTGCGTGCTATTGCAAGCATATCGAGTACAGAAAGCTGTAAACCACAATTTAAAAAATTTAAGTTATTGACATTTCCCGCAATGTATATTTATGAAATTGTGACATTTGTAAAAACTAATCCTAAAATATTTAATGATTATCTAATAACGAACAACCGACGTAAAAATAAAATTCATACAATTTCATCAAAGACAGCTTTACTTAGAAAAAGCGTTTTTGGTATATTGTCTAAAATATATAATAAGGTTCCATCTATGTTTCATGACATGGAAAATATTCATAAATTTAAAAAAGAATTTAGAACATTTCTAATTGAGAAATGCTACTACTCAATAGATGAATATTTAAGTGACGCATCAGTAGGCATATTATAATGACATTCACAAAATATAATTCATTTGACTTTTGATTGGACAATATATTATTGTAAATATCCCATTTTAATTAATTATTACATTCGTTCTTGAATTTTCTCATATAATTATAATATAAATAATAAAATGAAATAATATATAATAATTTAATTGTAACTGCACGTAATATTTGTATACCTAAGGGTCAAATGCAGCGAACATATTTATATAACATATACATATAAGATCTATTCTGTCTCATTACCTGTATTCACAAATAAATAAATAAATTTGAAATTTGAAATTTAGCATTGTGGGAAAACTGTACGCTAAGGTACTGATTGAAAGGGTCATGAAAGAAACTGATGGAAAAATTTGGGATATGCAAGCGGGATTTAGAAAGGGAATGGGATGTACAGATCAAGTATTTTCCATGCGCATGATCGCGGAGAAGTTTCTGGCCAAAAACCAAATGGTTTTTTGTGCTTTCATGGACTTGGAAAAGGCCTATGACAGAGTGGATAGGGATTTGCTATGGCAAATACTGAACTCATTTGGGTTGAGCGCTGGCTTGATACAGGCATTGGAGTCTCTTTATAGGGACTGTAGTGCTTGTGTTAGGATCAACGGGGTCTACTCGGACTGGTTTGACATCCATAAAGGTGTCAGACAGGGCTGTGTGGCTTCCCCGTGGCTGTTCAACCTATTTATGGACAGTTGTTTGCAAAATTTGAAAGTTGAAAAATGCGGATTAAGAATGGGTGAGTTAACCGTCAAATGCCTTTTGTACGCCGATGATCAAGTCATTCTTGCGTCGTCGGCGGCCGAGTTGCAAATGATGGTTACATTAATGAACGGATCATTAAAAGAAAGGGGTATGAAAGTGAACGCAAGTAAGACGAAGGTTATGGTTTTTGAAAGAGAAGAAAGTAAAACGATTTGTGAAATAAGAATAGAAGGGGAGTTGATCGAGCAAGTAGATGAGTTTGTATATTTGGGCTGCGTATTTAGCAGGGATGGGAGATATGATAAGGATATAGAAAGACGAGTGAATGCGAAAAATAGAGTAAATGGGGCCCTTCACTCTATTGTGAAGAGTCAAAATGTGTCGAAAAAGGCACGTATGGCAATTCACAATGCTGTGGTGGTCCCTACTTTAACGTATGGTAGTGAAAGTTGGGTGTGGCAGAAGAAGCACGAGAGTAAAATAAACGCAGTAGAAATGCGGTCGTTAAGGAGTATGTTAGGGCTGAATCTGAATGACAGGGTAAGAAATTGTGTAATAAGAGAAGAGTGTGGTTTGCAAGATGATGTTGTGACCAGGATTAAGAAAGGAATGCTTCGGTGGTTTGGTCATGTGGAAAGAATGAATGAGGAAAGAGTGACAAAGAAAATTTATGTTGCAGAAGTGAATGGCAGAGTCGGAAAGGGACGTCCTAGGCGAAAATTTATCGACCAAATTGGCGATTTATTGGAAACGGGCCAAATTAGGAGTACCCTTAACCGACGAGGATGTATGCGTAGGTGTATGGATGTGAAGGAGGCGAGAGCGGTGTGTCAGGATCGCCAAATGGAAATCTGTAGTCTCTGCCTACCCCTCTGGGTGACAGGCGTGAGTGTTTATGGTATGGTATAATCCTAGTTTAGTATGTGTGGTGCTATACCGTCATTTCAGAAGCGACAGTAGCCTAATGGCAGGCGCGGACCATGAACTCAAAAATGTCGTGGGTTCGAATCCGCCATTCGACTACTGGCTTGAACCACTTGTAACACAAGTAGTTTAAGCTTACCACGAGTGGTTAAAGGGAATATTAGTAATGTTTATAGCATTGTTAATATTCTTTTATACCAAAAAAATCAAAAAAAATCATGTATACTAAATTTAAAAAGCTTAAGATTCTTGTACCACAATAAACAATTAAGTAAATAAATAAAGTGGTAAAGTGAAGAAAAAATTTATATTATTAAATTTTATATTAAAGATGATAACTAGCCCCTCGCTTGACTCGTATTAATAATTTTTTGTACGTTTTGGCATTTTAAATGAACGAACTTAACAAATAGCAAAAATTTAATATGAAAGGCGAAGACTTCTGGCCACTTAGTGAAGTAATCCATCACAACTATGAAATACTTGTTACCACTTTCACTTTCCGGAAACGGCCCCGCCACGTCAATGGCTATTCTCTTCCATGGTTCACTACCGATTTACAACTTCAATGCACCTCTACTACGAGTCTGATGTCCCTTTACAGCCGCACAACTTGTAGATTTGCGACACCAGTCCTCGACATCGTTTCGACAGTGGACCCAGTAAAATCGTTCTCGGAACTTCAGTAGAGTTCGTTTAACTCCCATATGGCCTTTTGAACAATCGTTATGGTACAGCTGTAGAACGTCCGGCACTTTAGCTTTAGGGGCAACCATGTTGTCCCATTGGGCCCAATAGCTTTTAGTGGTCGAACTCATCACTGACACGTCGCTCCACAAGTGGTGCGACTGGTGGATGAATATAAGAAATACCGAACTTACATGATGTGGTTTAGATAGGTACATTTTGTAAAATCCAAAAATCTTGTGGATTAGTTCTTCCACTGTTCAATTTCTTTAAGCGTTTCTAGGTACTTATAATTGTTTTCAACAAATAAAGTGACATTATGCGTACAATGCAAATATTTTATCTGGGCGATTCAGGTTGTATTTTAATTATGAATTAATATGTTTTGTTTTTGATGCCGCTTTTGAGGATTTTTTGATATGCATGCATTGTGAGTTCATACATTCATGTGAGGTTTATTACTTTTTTCTGTATAAAATTAAAGTGAGTCTGAATAGCTAATACAAACTGTGCAACGATATCTAATCTTTCAAAAAGTTCTATTTGTCGAAAAAGAAAAACTCACACAGACGAATATGCAGTTTCTCGATGTTTGGACGATAAATCATTCGTTTAGTTCCGAAATAATAATAATCAAGCGCAATAGTCATAAAGACTAGTATTACTCAAAGCGGCCAAAATGCCTGTTTTTTTATTTCTTATTTTATAGGTTCGTAAACCAAATTATCGATTATTTTTACCAGTTGTCCTGATATTTGACCCATTAGACATAGTAATGCTAATACATAGTGAAAGGCGCTAACACTATTACCTTGAAAACGTAGACAGAGAAACCTATAGACAAATTGACGCCTTCTTTTGCACACGAAAAAGATATGTTTATGCATACGTCTTGCATAGAAATGAGACAGAGCGGTGTGATTGTTCGTCCCTTTCTCCGTGCCAGTTTTTTTGTTTAGCAAACTACACTTCGCTAAACAACTTTGATAGTTCGTATGGATCTAAGGAGTTTACAAGTTGGTTTAAGTGAGAAAAAAAGTGTTGTGTGAGCTTAAGATTGATGAATCTTGTTCAGTTCAGTTCTTAGAACAATCAAAATTTTTATCTAAATATGTTTAAAATCTTAAAGATTATTGTATAACCTAAAACTACGTTATCGTCCTTTCTCGAGGCCACGCTAATCATTAGTCTATAGGTTTCTCTGTCTACGCTTGAAAAGCTGCAGGTGTAGTTAACGCCATACTGAAAATCACGGATGCTAGCAGTCATTTTATTTGTCTTAATGTCATGATAAATTTTCAATTAACATAAAATAGGAAATTATTTTTATTTTCAAATTAATACATAGTATAATATGTAACTGTGTCATAACGTCGCTGCAGCTATATTATTGTTATATCCCGAATGGGTCGGCTCAACCGGGGCAGGACCACGCTCTCACGGAATACCAGCATAAAATAGCAGCGTAATGCTGCTGTGTTTCGTATGGTTAGTGTATAGAACCAGAAAACCTTTTTACTGGAATTTTAATGGAAGGTCTTTATTCTCCTTACCTTTACACTCCATACTTTAATAGACCCTAGCCAGGTGATTCCGGAACAATATTTTTGTTTGCTTACAAATCATTTTACTAATGCATGATTTTCAAAGCTTTTTTTTGGTAGCAACTGAATTGAATGGAATTAAAATTAATTTATCTTTAAACATAACAATTTTTTCAATATAGTTACGTAGTGGTTTTAAACTTTTTGTTGCCATTGTACTATTTTATTATATCAGCTGTCAAATTAAATTGTCTATGGTTTAAAGTGTGTACTAGGTATAGACAAGAATAAAGAATATAGATTTTCGTCGGACATGGCCGCTGTATCGGCAATACAACACCTGCAATGTTTTGTATATTTGCGTTCATTTTTTATAATGAATACAGAGTTTTTTACTTATAAGTAGTGATTAGTGGCTTGTATATAGTGCTGTGATATTTGTAATGGATGCAGAGAACGAGTACGAAATAAAGAGAGCTCGTGATGCAATTCAGATGATTGAGACCATTCAGTCTATGATCGACGTTTCAGCAGATAGACTTGAGGGTTTACGGACGCAATGTTCGACAAGTGCCGAGCTAACCCAGCAAGAGATCCGGACCCTGGAGGTAAGAATATTTTCATACTTTCTACGTAAACTATTGTGGAAACAAGATAATGCCCTTGAACGAATTCCAAGGCTCTTGCCTCAAGGACTCCGTTGGATTCAAGGACCACGTCTGACGGTTCATTGGCTGCTTCTCAAGTGATTCCGGCCTCGCACCCCCGATCGCCTTGAATGTAGTTAGTCGAATGCAAGTAGCAAATCAGGTTGTCTCTGCGATTGGCGGCTTTTATAGGTAACGGAACTTTTTACTCAATATAGCTATTTTAGCATTTGAGAAGACACTTGCATGGTTTATACAATACATAAGATATTTTGATCAACATTTCTATAATATTTACAAAAATTCTTCAGTTTTAAAATAGTAATAAAATATTAAATACCAACTTAACAACATTACATACTCTACTATACTATTTAAAAATTATATCCATAAATAGTATCCACTGCAAAAAGTTTTTGTCTTATTTAATTCCTAATGGAAACATTACATGGAATCTAAATGTTATTTTAATTTCTTTAGCTTAATATTCTGTTAGGGATATTATTTATTTAGTAATTGTCCTGTTGGACAATTGTGTTTATTGACTTTATATAAAACATCCTATGTATAAAATTATATAACTATTCCATCAGTATATTTATTTATTGCTAGCTATTATTTATTAGCTTCTGATCCTTAGTATACATACTACCTCAGGTGTGGGTGTGTGTATGTAATACATATTATGTATAACTCAATATTACAAAACTTCTTCTTTATAGTCTTTAATATTATTCAGAATTCACCATGAGGATATCGTTTCGATTATATTACAAATATTTTATGCCCATTTGATTAAATTTGTGTTATCATAAATACTTAATAGATTTGTTCAGTGAATGGAATAACACATTTTTTGTCTTTGGGTTAAAAGGGTTATTAAGCAATTTATGGATGATAAAAACCCCTGGGAACTAGGTGATCACTATCAAGCTATTTCTTATTTGTGTTGTGTTGTTAATTGTGGTAACATATTATATGATTGGAAACTGTTTTTATTTTCAAAAAAAAATCCCTCTGTGTTTCTTGCTGGTTCTTTCCAAGAGTTTTTTTAAACATGTGTTAAATTAAACAAAAGAGTGATTTTCAATAAGTATTCTTTATAATCTATATTGAATAAACAAGTTCCTGTTTTAATGTACTGTAATTAATAATTTACAGGTTGACATAATGATGAATGAATGTCCAATTATAATACTAACATAAAAATATTAATACAGAGCAAATGCTTCATAATGCATATTTATATCTTCATAGACAAGTGATTTATGTTCACTGAAAGGAGCCAAACCTTCATCCCATATTTTATAAAAGCAACATTAAATCTTTAACAAATCATTACTACAAGTATAAAAATTTATGATGAAATGTTACTTAGTTTGATTTTTGATCTGCATTTATTAATAATGTCCTCCAGACTGAATTTCGGTCACGGTGGCCTGCCTCAACGGAGACTAGCCGTCGGCGCAGTACAGGATTATAGTGCCCAAGTGTATGCGCAAGCACAGGTGCACTCTCTTTTCTCACATTCTCATATCCCGATGGGACGGTAAACCGACACTACCGGAGAGAGATCAGGCGCAGGACCTGCTTTACGTGCTTTCCGAGGCATGGGGGTGAGACACCGCCAACTTCATGACTCCAGGCAACTACTGAGAATTTCTTGATGGAAAAACTCAATAATTAATTTTTTGGCCCAACCCAGGATTCGAACCCAGGACCTCATTATCAGCAGTCGTACTACTACAACCACTAGACCAACGAGACAGTCAACAGTGCATTTATTAATCATGTATTTAAGGCAATAATATTTTATTAATTCAAATTAAATGCCAATTAGCTTCAAGAATCTGTCACTTCATCTTATTGGCTGGTTTCTTATAAACAAATGAGCTTATAGTTCAACTGATCCTACTGCAGTCAATGAACCTTCGAGCCACCTGCATCCATTGACAGAAAGTCATGCCTTACCAGGTAGGCAGACCTTACCAGTAATTAAATAATGAACAATTATTAGTAGTCACGTACTTATATATTATGTTCATGACTTAATATCTGATTATGGTATTTGTAAAAAATTTCTATTTTATAAAACTAAGATATTTTTTTTTAATTGTTAAATTAGTAACTTTCTATTTTGTAGTTGTTGTACTAACACTACTGTTTTTAAATATGAAAAGATGTCTGTGTGGATATATATTTTCATGCATTATTAAATTTTTAATTCATATGATCTTTGAATTTCATGTTTGTAAATATTAATTTGTTTCTATTTAAATATACGTTCTATCAATAAAATTATAAGCTTATAATCCACCTGGTGATAAATTGCTATTGCATGACCACAAGTGCATTGTTAACCCTGAGGGCTAGAGAGTTAGAATTAATATTTCATAACATGTGAATTATATTCTTACCCCTTCAACAAGAACAGAATAGACATGGTTAGATGGTATACTTTTTTAAATATATTAAGATCACACAATTGTAACCTCGCATTCTTATATATTTACAGGACAATAAATTGCATAATTTATTTAAGGTTGTGTTGGTTAACTGTTATTTTTTGTACAACTTTAAATATCCTCTGTATAAACATTTAGAACTGAAATATGTAGTTATACTCATACTACAGCACTGAATGGTGTCACCGTGAAAGAATCCATCATCTCTTTTAATCCCATAGGTATTGTAAGAGGTGCCTATGGGATATGTCAGAAAGGTTTTATGTCTTCCGGTAGATAGCGGAATAACCACCAGGTTTATGACATAAATACCCAGACCAGACAGGTAGGTAGCAGTTTAGGTGTGCAATGTCTGACGTTTTTTTTTGTAGGAGAGGGGGCAAACAAGCATACGGCTCACCTGATGGTAAGTGACTACCGCCGCCCATGAACAACTGCAACACCAGGGGAATTGCAGATGCATTGCCGGCCTTTTAAAAAGGAATAGGCTCCTTTCTTGAAGGTCCCTAAGTCATATCAGTCTGGAAAAATCTCTGGTGGTAGTTGATTCTACAGGAAAGTTGTGTGAGGAAGAAAACTTCTTTTAAATCGCTTAGTGGTGAAACACCAGTCATTCAGAGGGTATCGCGAGTTTTGTCGAAATGTGCGATGGTGAAAATATGCGCCTGGAATTAGTCCGAACAATTCCTCATGGTAGATGCGATAAAATACGCAGAGATGATCTGAGATCTATTCGCAGTGCTATTGAGTCAAGCCGATCAGAAAGAGGTCGTCTATGATTCGAACTGCTCTGCGCTGGATGCAATCAAATAGAAGGAGCTGGCACTGGGGAGCGCCAGCCCACAGATGGGAACAGTATTCCATGTGCGGCCGAACCTGCGCCTTGTAGAGTTGCAGGCGGTGTTCCGGCGTGAAATACTGTCCCGCTCTGCTGAGCACGCCAAGCTTTTTAGAGGCCAATTTGCCCTTCTCTTCCAAGTGACCACGAAACTGCACGTCACTCGATATATCGACGCCGAGGATTCCGATACCGCCTGATGTACCAAGGGGAGTGCCTTGAAACTGAGGAGATACGACGAAGGGGTTCTTTTTAGCGGTAAACGCACCAACTTGTGTTTTCTGGGGATTAAACTGGACTAGATTTAGTCCCCCCTAGTCCGAGATTTTGTTTAACGATGTCTCGACTTCACACACAAGTTTGTCCCGGTACTCGGCGACGTTTTCCCGAGAAAAATTGGCACGGCCGGTGTATAAAGCATCACTAGTGCTGTCGTCTGCATAGCAATGAATGTTACCGGCTTAATTTAACAGCGTTGGTGATAGCACCCAGCCTTGTAGAACACCAGCGTTAATGGGCTTGTTCAGCCCATTTATGAGTTAGGTAACCCAGACGATCACCAGCCGAGCGAACGCGACGGAAACCGTACTGGCGGTGACTAATCAGCTGATGATTCTCAAGGTACCGCATGAGCTGGCTGTTAATAATGGATTCCATTATTTTAGAGAACAAGGAGGTGATGGCGATAGGCCTATTGTTGGAGGGATCAGAGCAGTTGCCTTTTTTATAGAATAAGGTTGACATGCGACACACAGTGCATAAGATGGCTAGTAGATGCTGTGCCCATAGATATTTACATTAATCCTTGATTGAGAAACAAAATGAAGATGCGTGGTCACCCCTGAGGATTAAGATAGAATGCATAATTTCCAGTAAAAGGGGTCTCTGGTTCTCTATACTCGTCATACAGAGATGGTTTTGAAATCCAACTATCCGCATTAAATAACGCGTAGATAATGACCAAACCTGCATCAATAAACGTACTATATGTATATAAACTAGCGATATAGTATAACTAGGCTTCTATTTTATATTTAAAAAATTATTATCAGATAGCACGAGTACGAACATGTAAACAACTTGTTCGGGTGTTCTCGCTATTCGGCCCGAGTATTTGCCTGTTCTCCTCAATGTCGGTTTTTTAGCACAAGTCAAAGGAATGCTCGTGTGTATTCGTATCGGTGTGTACATACTCTTCATAATTCGCTTGAGCCGTGAATTTTGTCCCAGGTAGTTATTAGTTTTCTTATAAAATAATAATATATAATACTAAACATAAATACCTATCTACTGCGATGGTTTTGCGTAACGAATGGCGTAATCAATCCGATATGGATTCCTAGAGAAAGGTTTTAAATAAATGTTAGTGAATCTATGTATTATATATGAAGTAGACATAAACTCGTAGCAACGAGACGCACGTCATCCATGTTTAAATAATCTATTTCGATAATCTATCTAAATGTGCCATAAGAGATTGTCCGCGAACATTGGAACGCTTGGTAACGCGACATGGCAGACATCGTCGCCAGACTACACGAGTGTTTATCAACAAATCAATCTTTGTAGTGCCTTCATTAAACAATTACTGGATCATGTCCAACAATTTAACATTGCAAATGATTATTTTACTATAATTTATACGACTTGTTGCTATA